AGGAAAATGTGTAGTGCACTCAATATGACCACAATGAAGTGGTTTGTGTTAGTAGAGCGCTTGTTTTGTTACATTTGGCCTTCATTTGCCCTTTACCCACATTATATTCTGGAGCCACATGGTTTATTATATATATTAATTCTTTTGTCTTGTTTCTGATATTTGAATTTTGAATTTTGATTTGACTCCACCCTTCGATCGTGTTCGCAAACAAATTCTCATATTTCACAATGTTGACCTTTTAATACTTAATGCTTTGATATTAACACACATGGCAAATATATCACCTTCTGTGTAATTGAAGAGGGCAGAAAGAAATTCATGCAAATATAAACCACAGAACTAAAGTTCTTTTCTGAATGGTCTCAATATGTTGTCTCGTGTTCACGGTTCAGTCGATTTTTCTAAACCACCTTAACCTTTTTGAGATTATGAGTTACAAATTCAACAGACACCCAGAGAAGCGAAGGTTATATTCTAAATATAAAGTAAATGATATACATGTATACATAATGCCTCGCCTGTACAAGTGATGACCACGGATTAAATTGACATTGACAGTTCTTCAATGCATATGAAATTGTGTGCATTTAGTCTTCCTAGCAAATAACTTAATCATGTGTATGAATAGAAAAAAACATGCAAATAAATGTTTAAACATGCAAATTTTAATGAACAAGAAATGCTCATGTTGATATCAAAATGGTTGGCCAATATCTACAAAACAAAAAAATGGGATCTAAAAGCACAAGATAAGGGTCCTAAAGACGTTAAAATCATGAAAGAAATTCAACAATGGTAAAGTGTGAGAAACGAGGCACGTGTGCATAGACACAGGTGGTCAAGTGGTTTGGTGTTCCCAAATTCGCTTCATAGGATTAGCTAGTTTGGGTTTCAAAACCGACGTCGGATCTGCTGGCATCATCCCAATGGCATGCTAATTGGAATTGCCTATTGTTATTGAAGCCCTATAGCCATACCTTTGTTATAACCTTCATTTAGGTTATTCAGGCAACAAGGTCTCAATAATGTTTTAAAAATGTTTTATGGCAGACATGTGGAGGGCATATTTAAAATCAATTCGCATTAAAATTCAATTCGCTATTTTGACTTACACCATATGTTCCCATGCATTTTCAGGTACACAATATCTCTACCCAAATCATTCTTGAGACCCCCCAACGTTCTACTACGTTGGACTCCTGAAATCTTTCTCCTTGTCTACGTCACACTTATCAGTGACAAGTCGTGGAGCCCAGTCATGGTCTGTCCAACTGATGTGATCTTCAGCCAAATCCAAACGTGCCTGCATGTTAGTGGGATGCGAATTCATTTCCTCTGTGACCGGATACCAGCCTCAGATTATGCATTGTCTGAGTAGAAACTGGCGTTCCGTAGGTCATTTCTTAGTGTAGTGGCAGTCACTAAGTGATGACGTCTTGCTGCAATGAGGACCATCTGCATGTCACTGGGTAGTTGATCCAAACGTCTGATTCTGTGCCCAGCAACGTGACGTTGTTTTGACCCAGTTTCAAGCATGCCTATGCATCTGCCTATTTCGTCGGTCATCAAACGACGTCTTTGATGCTGTGTAGGCATAAGTGGTTACAGTTGTTTCAATCCTCAGAGGCAAATGCTATTGTGATAAAGATATGCAACGATTCTGTCACGATACATCATATCACAGGTTTTGAAGCATGACTGCATGCCCATGACTACATGCCTCTATCCGTTCATCATGAAATTGAGGTCCTATTGGAGTTATCCAATCATTGTGTGCCTGGATATTTCAATCTCTATTTGTTGGATGATATGCTGATATCATCAAAACTTGATCCTGACAAAACTTAGAATATCTGTGCAGACCAGACGTTTCGAGATTAAGACAAATTCATACCTGTGTTAACCGGTTGTCCATGGGCATGGAGGGGAACAACGGACAGACCTTGTCTCGTTAAGGGCAGCCCCGGGGCTGTTGCAAGTCCTTGTTCTTAACTCTCTTTGGAGGCCGTCGCAGGTTGCTGAACATAGCCCGTCAGGTCCCCACTCTGACCAGTTGGTAGGATCTAGAGCAAATTCAAAGATAATGACATTTCACAAACATGCAGCCTATTCAGGACATTTATTACGTTCACGACTATTTCCTCAATTGTAATCACATAGAATAAAAGCAAGACCTAATTCAGTGATTCCGTAATTTCTAAGCGACGATGCCGTTCTCAAGTATAGTTAATCAAGTCATCATAGTTAATCATTGTCCGTCGTGAAATATTGAAGTCAAATGACTTTTGTTCATAAGACACAAATAATGTCTGATATGATTCCCTATTTTGACTTTGTAGCGTTCTCTTTATTATTCAGGTGCATACTTGACCTGCCATGGCATCTGTTTGTGATGCATGCCATCGGTAACACAGGATACACTCACCTTTTCGCGAACATCGGGTATTTTATAGTGATTCATCAACACATACTTATAATAAAGTCTCAAATTGTACAACCTACTCTAATTTTGGCAGATATTTCTTATGATTATGAGAAGGGCCATGTTCCTTTTATTTATATATTTGGCATCATCCTTGCAAGTAGCAAGGCCCGCCATATATGATATCGGGGATATATGAAAAGTGAAACCTAAAAAACCCTGTTCACAATTTGTCCGTTTTAAAAATTACCGCAATGTCAGCCAATGTCTTAAAAAGTAAACAATTTCAGCAATTTGGCAACAATCTGATGAAGACAATTGTGTATGAGTAGACCGCTTGTTTCGTTACATTTGACCTTCAAATTTTTACTTATATCCAAATGTATCATGAAGAATATTATTGACATCAAATATTTTTGTGTTCCTTTGTATATATATTTTTAAGATTTTGCAAACACGGGATGGTTTTACATTTATAATGAAGAAAAATAAATTTCCGATAGATAGAAAAACTTGTACTGTCGATAAACGTATTACCATTGCTGAACTTGAGGTAGACAAATGTCTAAGTCATGGATCCATTGAAACTATTATTCATGAATATTTACAGATGAATACGATATCTGCTCGTTGGTTGCCAAAGTTTCTAAATTCTGATCTTAAGGAAACACTGACACTGCCAGAGGAAATGTAGAGCTAATTGAGGAGGATTTCGTGAAATTAAAAAAGAAATTAGTAACGGGTGATGAAACAGTCAAAACGTCAATCTGTAGAATGGCAACATTCCACTTCTCCAATTCTTCCAATTCAAGTCTTCAAGATCAGTGAAGAAAGTCATGGACACTGTATTATGGGATGCAAAGGGTGCGATCCTTGTTGATTACTTAGAAAGTCAAAAGACGATTACTGGTTTCAACTATGCTGATTCATATCATTGCCTGAGTGGTTCTATCAAAGAATGCAGACTGCTGGAGTTCTTCTCCTTCATGACAATTCCTCTTCTCACACCTCTCGACTTGCAAAGGCTGCTGTGCGACAATGTGGTTTCTAAGAGCTTTCTCGCCCTCCATACTCCCCAGGCCTGGCACCATGTGATTTCCACCTATTTCCTGAACTGAAAGAACACCTTTGTGGAAAGTGCTAAGGCGACAAAGATGACCTCATCACTGCCATAAATGGAAGTTCGAGACGAGTTTGGTTAGGTGCCGACTAACCAACAATCATTGGATCCTGCCATGCCCCCAAAACGTGCCAGGGGTGTGGAGGGCAGGTGTTAATTCCCAATCCTGGAGATGGGATATAGCTTTGTTTTAGCCGATTGTTCGTTTTTGTAAACGAAAATATGTTTATCTTACTTCCTACCAACCTGTCGAAGGGTGTGGTGCCGACCAGCCTCTCCAGCCCTTCCAGCCTCTCCAGCCCTTCCAGCCACGAAACCATCTCCATGGAGCAGACCACCATCTCCCTGGTGGTGAGCGCCATCTCCGTGGTTCTGACCAGGCTGTCCACGGTGCTGACCAGGCTGTCCAAGGGGTTGTCGTGCTTGGCATCTGTGTAGTTGTAGCTGGAAACAATGTTAAACACATGACTAGAGACACAAACACGTATTATACACAGCAACAATTACGCTCAAAACAATAAACTAGATTGGGTTAGTACTTACAATGACTTGTATTGTATTACTTCCCCGTGAAGTTCGCGAACTTAACTTAAACAGTTGGATTCTTCCCTAAGTCAAATTTAATCATGCCTCCCTAAGCGTGCAAGCACCTGCTAGACGGGTCTCAAAATCCATCCGAAGTATGATAGCCGGATCAGAAGGTTTCATCCAAAGGATAGCATCACTTTCACCTTTCTCCCTCAATAAACAGAAACGCCGTGCTATAACTTGTAACTGATGCTGACAGATCCATCACACCAAACTCACTCACTGCATGATAAGGTTCAAAGCTATGATGTTAGGATGTAGTTGAACAATGATTGATAATCTAGACTGGTTATTCTCCAGCATTGACAATATATATTATCTCAGATCTGAGCTTCCGAATACAATATGATTTTCTGGTCGATCTACAGGGATCAATAGGTCATTAGACAATTGAAATATGAATGTGTTTAGTACTTGTGCAAGCAGGATCGCCAGCACAGGATACAGTATCGTTTATGAAGCTAGGTCCATCGCACGTTCGCCCGGCAATTCCCTTGTCGTTGCACGTTCGATTCCTAACCCTCTCTCGCATGTCCGTGTCACAGTTACAAGGTCCCTCCGATGTGTCCCACGCGGTCCATTCTGAAGTAGATCAACATATGATGCGAATACAGTACATGTTTTCTTCAAGTGAGGCAAATGCAACACTTTAAGAAGACACGGGCCATGTCCCCTAAAAGATAAATTTAAAGTCTCCATGGAGTAATCTAGTGGTTAACGCTCGTAACCGTCATAGTCGATAACTTCTCAGAATATATTTCATAATGCATTTGCATACACTGTTCTGTTGCAATGTTGCAGTGACAGCAATGTTGTTCCTATCATGACACGTGACAAGGTTGTGTATTGTATTACATATTAACTCACCCCCATCGTCATCAACAACAACGAACACCCTCAAGTCAGTTTCTGGTATAGGTGCTTTGTCGATGCCCGTGATCCTCACAAATATTGCTCGACCATTGTCACAAACCTTAAAAAGATGAAGAATGCGAGAATTATGATTGAAGGTTAAAATAACAAAGTTCGAATATCCTGCCCAACGACAATACAAAAACATGATTGCACATCGTCAGGATCGTTCTGCGTGGCACGTTCATATGAAACATCAAGAATTAGACGGATTCCATCTAATCATTCAGGTGTATGGTGAGAAAGAATAGGTTGTTCGTCACGCTGACGCCCAGGATCAATTGCCACCGAAGGGCTTGACTATTGTTTAACTTGACATTAAGACTCATATACTTACGCGTGTGCAATGTACATCAATTGTTAATGCTTTTATCGTTTAATGGACATCAAAAAGAGGAAAACACACAGATATTCCAACACAGGTACTTACGGAGTTATCCTTCACGTCAATTGGGATTTTCAGTGGGTCCTCGGTAGGAGGGTAAACAATTGAGAAACTCCCTCCCGTAAAATCATCAGGGGATGATAGCCCCAATCCCGTGATGGTGTAATTAATTTGGATGTCTCCTTGGACGATACCAAACCGTCGCAGTGTTATATTGTTTGACTGTCCCTCGAAGAGATCTTCCACAACGAATTCGAAAAAAATCAGATCTGCAGATAAAAATTAAAACAGAATCAAAATTTCCTGTTTGTCACTTCCAAGGGGCAAAGGTATTTATATTACTGGCCTAAATGTTGCAAACGTTATGTTTCGGAAGAAGAAAAGAATAAGTTCCGTAACGGCAATGCCTCGGGTGGTTTTACATTTGTACTTCTGTTGCAGGAAAATGACTATGTCAGCAGAACATGGGGGTCAAGTCAAAACATTTTGCATTGAAAGTCTCCAACAACAAGTACAGGTTTCATGCAAATTGAGTAGGTTCCGGTAGTGTTGGAATGCAATGTCCCTTAGCACCTTCACGTCATAGAAGTGTAGCTACGTTAAATATGACTTCAGGGAAATGCATTGTAGCTACTAGTTACAGATGACATGATAGAATATTATATATGAAACAGTTCCAACGATGATTTACCATTGTGCTGTCTTTTCTTATGGAAACCTATCTTCTGACAAATCTATTTGGGTTCGAATCCCGGTTCGCCCCGATTATGTTTTCAGGTTTGTCAGCACCTTTGTCAGAAGCTTTCCCGAGGGTCACACCAAGTAGAACATTTACCGAAGCTATTTTTGTATTGGTAATTGTAGAGAAGATGTAGAAGATGTATCGTCGTTTGACTTTGTTTTTGTCATGTTTTTCAACTAGGCGCTCGTGGCTTGTTCAGCACATTGGAATTGAACCAATTAGGGTTCATAGAATACACCAGGTTTATTCTGGTATGGTAATACGTCTGATAAGTATATGCACGTTGTGGCTCTATGCGGTGAGTGTACCTGTGTGCACCACTATGAATAAGGGAAATTACCTGCTTCCTTTGTTTTAAATATGAATTCCCTTTTCCAATAGGTGTCGGATTGATTGTGCGATTTGTATAAATGGTTTCGTTGTGCTCTCCATGATAAGCGGATGTCTTGTCACAATAACCGAGTTCTAGTTCATTCAGCAAAGGCATAAGGCTTACAAATGGCATCATCGGAAGGATTTCTTGTTATTGACTAATCAGTTCGTTGGGTTTAGATTTAGACAGTCAATTTAGAATTTAGACACCATACAAAAAATGAAAGCAAATGCCATCTGAAGTTTACTGAGAAAACAATATGTGAAATGCTGGACTTCCTCATTGATAACATCCACAAACAATTTTGGGGAAAGACACTTAGGCAAGAAGTAGGCATTCCCATGGGCACCAATTGTGTTCCCCTTCTTGCGGATCTGGTTCGGATTATCTGCTCGGATTGGTAAAGTCAAAACAAGGTCATTTGACCAAGAAGTATAACTTAAGCTTCAGGTATATCGATGATGTGATATCGTTCAATAACAATCAAATAGCCATTTCCCTTCCACTGATTTACCTAGCTGAACTAGAAATAAAGGAGACCGCCTCATCTGTTTCATATTTAGATCTATGCATAAAGATTCAAAACACTCTCCACAAGACTGTACGACAAGAGGGATAACTACAACTTTCACATAGTCAACTTCGCTTTGGCGAGTAATATTCCAGCAGCTCTAGCTTTTGGTGTTTACATTTCACAACTTTTGAGATACAATCGAGAATGCCCTTTCTACCAAGATTTCAAAAAGCGTCATTCGACTCTTGCTCAGAAGTTGTTTGTTCAAGGTTACAACATTCAAGGCCTCAGTAAAGCTGATCTTTCTTTATGGTGGATTTGCAAATGGCATGGAGTCCCTTTCGATATGCATAGGAACAAGTTTACAGTTCGCTCATGGTAGTGGTGTTCCCTTACACGAGGGATATAAGTATATTCATTTAGGCATTGTTACTTCGGATACTGTTGTCATTCCCGCCAAGTATGAGATCATTTTCCTGAAAAGCTAGATGGATACTTTAATGAAGATGGATGTGTTGAATGTCAAATTAGTTCAGAATGTTGTGCCAAGACAAGACGAAACTTTACGTAAGTGAGAGGCACAAGAATAGGGACTTTTTCGGAGTTGTATTGAGTCCGCTGCCGAAAGTACTTCTTTGAACAGGCCCAAGTTTTGACAAATGTAATCTTGGTGATTATTCTAATGAGCATAGACAGAAATATAGAACAGAGCAGTTCTCAAGTGGGCCACATGACTTAGGTTCAACTGACAGGGTCAATGATGATAATAAACATATTAATGAAACGCCATTGAGATTTGCTTTTCATATATATGCTGGGGATGGAATGGGATGGTATAAATACAGATCAGATTGAGGGGTCACGTTTGTTCTCATCTCTGGACTGTATTCTGGCCAGTTTGAAGTTGAAATTCGTCATGTCTACATTGACGATATCATAATATATTCCAGAACGTTTGGGGAACATTTAGATCATTTGCTGGAAGTAGAGGTGATGAGAATAAATCTAAAGGTACAACTCCAAATCAAGAAACGGTTTCAGTTATTAGATATTGGCCCATTCCTCAGTACGTGTCAGACGTACACAGTTTTGTTGGGATTCTGGATTGTATTACCAGCAATTTATCAAGACAGTTTTGTCTATTGTGACACCTTTGACTAAGTGGACTGTGAAGAGAGCTGAGTTTGTATGGAGTGAGGTTTGTTAGCAGGCATTTTATTGTTTGAAGGATATGCTTACATTTTCCCGAGTTTTAGCATGTCCTGATTTTGAAGAGGACTTTGTTGAAGATACAGATGCTAGTAATGTGGAACCTTGTTTCGTCTAGAATAAAGGTTTCTGAGTAACTTCTGATTGCATTATCACGATCAGAACAGAGCTATTGTGTCACCCATAAGGACATGTTGGCAGTAATGGAAGATAGGAAGCATTTTAAGCGCTATCTGATAACATGTAGTTTTCTTTTGAGAACGGACCATGACTCACCACGATGGGTTAAGGAAATGGAAGGTCAGGTGGATGGGTAGTTTGAAGTTCTGACTGATTATGATTGTGAAGTACAACATAGAGCTAAATAATAACTTTCTAATACATACACATGTCAAGGAAACCCTGCAAACAACGAAAGAGAGTGGACATTGCAGACGTGCAGATTGAAAGTCCTTTAGAATGGGCACAGTGACAGGAGTTTGGTTCCCTCGTGGAAGCCATTGACAGGAATTAATACAATCATGTAACGAGACCAGTTACGAGGTTCATGAACGGTCTATCAGATCAGTGGGATTCCTTGTATGTTGTTGGTGGTTTTTAGTCAGGGGGCTGTACGAATACAGTGTCAAAAAGGTACTCCCTCTGTCAATGATTGGGGATGTCTTCAAAGGTTTACTTGAGTTATCAGCAGGTGGGGGCAATTCAGAAGATAAAGCCAAAAGGGAGACCACGGTTCTATTGGCCTGGTTGAGCCCATGATCATGAAGCTCATATTAACATTTGTTCAGAGTGCATAGATAGGAAGACGGATTGCCAGCAGAAAGGCTGGTCTACAAGGTTCCTGGGTATTTTTCCATTTGAACATATTGCAGTTGATATTTCTGGACTGTGGCTGGTAGTGTTGGAAACAATTATATGCTGGTTGTGCAGGACTATTTTAAGCTGCACTTATGGAATTCCAAAACAAGGACACGAATTATTGCTCGAAATTGGTTGCCGAGTTCATTTGCAGGTTCGGCAAACCGTTTTCATTGCATTTGCCAGGAACTAGGAATAAAGAAAACTCAGACTAACACGTATCACAGGACTTTGTCTAGCATGTTATATCAGTACGTAAATGATTCTAAAAACATTTGGAATTTCACCTTCCATAATAATGTTAGCATTCCAATCTCAACAATTACCCACTCAAACTCGGTAAAGCCATCTCCTCCACACTCCATCCCAAATCCACGACCACACCCATCATCACCATTCCCTTCAAAGTAAAAGCTTCCCACATCATCAGCCACCTCCCCCAACAGCAAGCCAACATTGACACCTACTTCACCAGTTCCACCTCCCTCAATACTCAAGAACACCAAAGGTGTAGCTTACAAAATTGACTGTGATTGTTGAAAAAAGTTTCAAGCATTCATCTGAGATTGTGGAATAACCGCCTGTTATATATGGGGACGATATCAATTCAGACCGTGCACAATATAGACTCGATGAAGTGAGGGAGTCACTTTTAGAAAGAAACTACCCTAGAAAAATAGTAGAAAGCTACATCACAAAACAAGGCTAAATCACAAAACCGTTGTGATCTTTTAAATCCCAGAGATAAATCTAACGAGAGTGTTCTCCCTTTTGCTACAACCTTTAACCCCAAAACCCAGAATTATCACAAAATAAACTTATTAAAACTAAAAGACAGAGCCAAAATCTGAAACAGATCTGTAAAATAGTACAAAAGTGTAACAGACTATATTGTGGTACTTGCCCTCATGTTTTACAATGTTGTTCTAATACATTTAAAGACGGAAAAACTTTCTATGTCCGTGAAAATATGAATTGTGCTTCGAAAAACTTGATTTATGTCCTACAATGAGCTGGATGCAAGGCCGAATACATTGGACAAACAGGGGACACAGTAAGAGTGAGAGTGAGGAGGGTCCACCGACAACAAATAAGGGACCTCTCTTGCCGGTGTATCCCACTCAGTCAACACATTGATCAGTGTGCCGGGAATAAAACACCAAATTTTGTGATATTCCCGTTTTACAAATCTGACAATGATGCACTGAGAAAGATAAAAGAAAGTTATTTTGTTAATACTGTCAAAACAAAATTAAATGGCCTAAAATAATTGAATTATTTTACACAGTTACATGTATTATACATTTAACCGCCACTACAATACTTATTTCTGTATGTGTCGTACGCCTGACCTATCGTCTTACGCCTGTCTTATTGTGACGTCACAAAGTTAGATTGCACTATGACGTCATACTATGTTAGAGTGTACTGTGACGTCAAAACAGCGAAACTGTACTTTTGAAAATCACATGCGTGAAACCGGTTGAATAAATTATACACACACAAGCACAGTCGATTGTACGATTCCGACTATATCATGAGGTTTTTATTTATTAATCACTCTCTAATAGTGATGACACCAGGTATTCGCGAAACGGTGAACCTATCCTGCCCCGCTTATTAGACAGCCCTTGTATGAGTGGTGTTTGGAAAATAGAAAGTTTCCAACTGGCATGTCAGCGAGAGCTGCTATTATGCTGGTACAGTGTTATCGTGGCTACATTTTAGTGACATGATATCGGCAGCAAGTAAATTGCCCCTGGCTGTTGTAAATGAACTTTGCAAGTTTGGTCGTTGGAGAAGTATCGGGATGTGACGGTTTCTAGAAACCTAACTGTCCATATCTGTCAACAATATCTTTACTGTCTGAACATAATACCAACTCGCCTTCATGATAAAATTGCTACTTTTGCTACGGATTCAAACGATACAAGTAACTGTATTTCCAAAAAGACAATTTTAAAGGAATGAATTAGGCGACCAGATTCTCCAGTTAGTAATGAAACAACCAAGTCACATGAGAATGCTGTATTCTCCTAATTTCAAATTCAGAAATGGTTTTGTTTGGATCCTCGAGTTTATAATAGGTGACCATTCTACGGAATAGACATTTAGGAATACTCGCCTTGGGCGCCAACGCTGCACGCGCACAATACCAGTGTCAGCAGGGCAACAGGCAGAGGCAGCATGATTGAAAACTGAAAGCAATGAAAACTGTGTATCTAGGTATATTTTCGAATTAAGGTATATAAATTCTCCAAACAATACTGAACAAGCATGGTATAAGGGGTTATTGCAAAGTAATGTTCATAACGCCTTACCTTAAGAGATGCGTCCTTTCCGTATCATTCAGAGGGTACCGACTGAAACGCGTGGAGAAGCCGGAGCATTTATCTATTCAAAGCTGTATTTAAAACGCAAACAGATGTTTCTGGGCGTTTTGTCACATAAGTTTTTCATGGTGACGTTCAATAAGGATTGTGGGGGTGTAGTTCCAAGACTATAATCCTCGATATCCATTAATTCAAAGGATACGCCCCTCTAAAAATTGAACGGTGGTCAAACTGAGATTAATTGCTGGTTGGTCGGTCGGTTTATTGTTTAACCCCGCACTCAGCAATATTCCAGCTATATGACGGCATTCTGTAAATATACGAGTCTGGACCAGACAATCCAGTGATTTATATCATGAGGACACTACTGAAGGTAAAATTGATGGTATGACTAAAACCAGTGTACTTTATATATTGAAGTTGATTAAAAACATACAAGAAAACACTCATAACTTAACTAGAAACTGAAAATAAGAATCGCTTATTGCCTCTCGATGCGTGTATATTAAGCATACATTGATATTACGATGTCCTCATACATTGATAATGAACTTCTAGTTTCGCGAGTTTCATTAAGATAGAACAATTTGTATTCATATAATTGACAATTTGTCAAGGAGTTGCCAAGCCGAACCAGGTGAATCTGGCAGTAAACCAATAAACCAATTGGTAATTAGTGCAAATAAAGCTTGAGGCGATTAGTGACTTACACCTTTCACACCACCCCAATGATGATGATAGCCAGCGCTGTTTATTAATTCTGGCCTCACAGTTGGTGTTTGTTCATGTTTACAATAAGTTAGTGTTGTAAGTTACGTCGAGCTACAAGATACCCACATTTAGGCACGAAATTACATGGTCTTGAAATCTCCACAGGCACTGAAAGTAAGTGTATGAATGTTGAACAAAATTATCACAGTCAGCAACTTATACCATGGCAACAGTTCAGCAGATCGCATAATAGCTATGACGTATTAAGGGACGGCCAGTTGCGAGTAAAGAATAACATTCGATCAGTCAATCTAACGGCTGCTTACCTCACAACTGTATTAGCATGCTATTTTTAAGCGTCACGGGATTTTGTTTGCTCATACATGTTTATATCACCTGTGTCATGCACAGAAAGGGAAATCCATGGACCACCAGGGAATAACAAGTCCAGCAAAATAGCGCTGACAATTATTTATCATCCAAATCTGGCTCCCACAGGAGATATCGCTTGGATGAGATCAAGTAGATCAACTGTAGATATCGCTGCAATGAAATTACATCACAATGCTTTGCAGACCATTGTGACGTCACTGGTTACCATGACGTCACAATCAAATGACATCACTAATAGCTCTGCTACTGAAGCTGTTTGCAGTACATTTTACACTGAAGACACTGCTAATTTCTGTCTACAAATTGAAAAAGTTTAAAGATTGATGTTGGATGATAAATAAAATCTCACCCTCGTGTCTTTTGATATCAAATATATCCACACTCGTGTTGATATATTTGACATCAAATGATACTCGGGTGAGATTCTCTATATGAATGGATCAATGTTATCAGTGATGACACCACATGTTCGCAAGAGGTCTTGGAGTAAAGCGTTACGTTCGGTCTTATGTTTTGTATCAGTCGTTCGTGCTTCTGGTCTTGAACAAATTTCAAGCCAAGGTCTAGACATTGTAACTATAGTGTATGTTATGAACATAGCCTTTATTTATTTTTAATTGGGGTTTATGCGCGATCTTTTTGTTCAAAAGAGCAATGACTCTCCTTTTGAAATGATATAAGCGACGGTCCAACCTGCCGCTTCCGGTCTGGTTTTCGGGTCTTTGCAGGCTGCGACAACTAATAACATATAGATACGGAGCCAAGCTAAAGCGTTTCCCTGTTGCACCTTCATTCAAAAACGGTCGTTTACAACTGAATGTTTTAAACTAGCACTTAATTTGTAGTGATTATTAGTTTACAATATCAACATTTGTTGAGTCTTCAACTGACAGACGAAATTACACGATGGAAGATAACTGGGAAATCGCCATGAAAAACAGTAGTATACATGCGTGCCTTTACAAATAACTGAAGAAGAAATAACATTCAGAATAAAAGAGCTCATCTTTAATGTTACTTTTATTTCATAATTAAAGTTACATCTGACTTTTATTTTTTTAATTCTGACATTATTTTTTTAGAAAATAAATATGCCAAATGGAAATCTACCATGCATCTATCAAGCAATCAGTTGCTCAGTTGCAATTAATATACATACCATTCATTATACAGTTTGAAATGATAGATTTGCCCATATTATTCAGTCCCTTGCAAAATGTGTCCCCCCATTAAGTGGTCACCACAGGTGTTAATTCATTGATCCATCATTTCTTACATTATTCTGATACTCATGCTCTTCAAATAGGGGTAAATTACAGAGATTTGTCCAAACAAACAACAAGACGTGCATGATACATGGCGCTCGCCATTAAGGGGGTAAAACAAGGACTGGTCGGCTCGGAGTCTGTATACTGTGTCTGAGTGGGGTATTCATGTGAAACTGCAGCATGGTATCTCAGTCAGCTAGCACTCTAAATCGGCATCAGTCCGGACTAGTACAAGCAGCCACACACACACACGTGCATGCACGTCGCTATATAAGTGCAATAATCTTGGACGCAACGTTAAACCCCATTTCACCTCACTTCACCTCAAACATGAAAGTATGCTGGAGTCCTTTCGTATGTTACTTATCTTGATTGACATAACATGCAGTTCTGTTACAGATAATGACTGCAAATAAAATAATAACAGTCATTGTGCAATGCATATATATGTTGGTGTAAAGAGAAAAAAGATTAGCATTAATAATTTGTTTATTTGGGAATTTAATACATCAGTTCAGAATAAGGAAACAAAAAGCATGGCCTAATGAAATAAAGAATGAGCTGCATCTGTTTTACAATCATCTGATGATTGTCAATGCAAACTGGATGTAGACACTAAAATGTTAATAAAATCATCATTATAGAGATTGAAATGTATATGAATTTATTGTTCCAATTTATAAGATGAAAAACTGTAGTTGGTATAAGAATAATATGGTATATAAGGTATAATATGTTTTTAAAGTAATATATATAGTGTCTTGTGTCTGAAGGAAAATACATTTTCTAATTTTTAAAATGTTAAAAAGGCCTCATTAATATATATCTTTGATTTATCATATTAAAATATGATCATGGTAGTATTTTGCAAAAACAGGCACAATTCTGCATAAAATCTGTTTATACAACATGCACCAACTAACCCTTAAATATCAAAATGGAGTTCAGAGATATCCATTTCTTTTGTATTGAACATTGTATAATGATATGATAATAATACTGACATAATTTGTCGGTGCCTGTTTCTTTTACAATATCTTGAAAACACTTAACCTGATAAATACTTATGCTGTCAAAATTCACATAATTTAGGCTACTGGCAACTTTTACGTTGCATAAGACCATCACATTTCGCGTACCGCATCGCCTAACCGCTGTACTTATATGCATGCGTATGATGCAGCCTGCTTGGTGATACTACAACACAGATATGGGAACGTGTACAATGAAAATCTACTTCATTTTTAAAAGTGTGATATTCACACATCAAGGGCAACACTTTCAGTACCGATTGCAAAACGTCAACAAAGCGACCTGGAATGAACGATCAGCTGATCTCACCGCCTCGCTTCGAACGGCTATCTGGTGGTTAACTGTACAATATGATCATCCCTGATGTATCACTGAATCACGGAACATTTATTTCCGGACATGACAATAGATAAATCATTGTTTACTGTCCACACAGTGGTAACAATGTCTCCGAATAAGGACAATGATGACAATAATGATGAGCACAAAAACGCTTGAGGATAGACGAACCAGAATGCTGGTTGTTGGTTGTTGTCGTGATTGTTGTGGACCCCAGACGAAATAACGATTCACTTCGTGTTGACGAACGTCTTTGTCTTGGTGCTTTGAGGTACCTGAGATCGAATTTCATCTCCACCAATATATCCCTGGTAGACGTTGGTGTTCTACCGGATATTTCTCTTTTGACAACACAAGTCCGTCTGTGGGTCCACAACGTTTATTCGTGATCTTAATATGTCTATATAACTACATAGTAGTATGGCCAGGCAGGATCTCTGAGGCGTAGGAGGGACAACCTGCCTAGCCGCTGTCCGAGGGTCAAGTCTCTACTCACAGAAAGCGTACTATCTTTAACCCTCACCGTCAGACTGCCATGTGTCGTGTGATGTTACATATATGGTTAGCCTGCAGTATCCCACACCTCATCCACAAAGTTAAGCTTCAGTTGCCAACCGGCCATTCTCTGGCATTTATTACAACCGCTGACCCTCACATGACTGTGCTGCTGGCCATGGTATGATACCCCAGCTGCTGTTATAAGTTGTATTGACCGCACTCTCAATACTTAAATAGATATAATCAACTTACTTAACTGATGGAATATATAAAACGTATATAGACTCCCTGTTAAAATCTATATACCCTGCCAAACTGCCTATGATACATGTAGTTCGCCGTCAGTTTAAGGTTGGACCGTCCGGGTCAGCGCACCTAGCGGGTTAGCGAAGGGAAGATAAATTGAAAAACATCGCCCATTGAGGCCTGGATTTTGTATTGAGATAAGATATATATCAGCTACGGCTACAAAACCAGATAGTGTTACATAAGTCTGAATATAATCGAAAGAAAGAACACTTTGCAGCAATATGATTTTTGTGACAAGCAATCTCTCTTTCGGCAGCCTGAAGTATAATTATTCTTTTCAAGCACTTTCGCGGGCCATTTATCTTTCTCGATAAACTCGATAAACTCCGGTCTACTGAGTTCAGGCATATCAGCAATAGGATGACATAAAACATTACTGCATCCATGTATATCAAATATAACTCTTTGATAATATCAAAGGTACAGCTCGATCATAATCTAAAAGACAATGTATGAACATGGCAATCGCAGGAATAGTGATTATCTGTGTTTCTAAACCAGTAGATGGCACAGAGACTTAAGTCATGAATTGTGTATTTCTACATGACGTGAA